GAATAGAATAGAATAGAATAGAATAGAATAGAATAGAATAGAATAGAATAGAATAGAATAGAATAGAATAGAATAGAATAGAATAGAATTCTTTATTGGCCAAGTGTGATTGGACACACAAGGAATTTGTCTTGGTGCAAATGCTCTCAGTGTACATAAAAAGAAAAGATACGTTCATCAAGAGTCAAGAATCATAAGGTACAACACTTAGTCATAGGGTACAGTAAGCAATCAAATCATACTAGGAAACAGTCAATATAAATCGTATGGATACAAGCGACAAAGTTATAGTCATACAGTCATAAGTGGGAGGGGATGGGTGATAAGGAGTGATGAGAAGATTAACAGTAATAGTAGTGCAGACTTTGTAAATAGCTGGACAGTGTTGAGGGAATTATTTGTAGAATTATTAGCAGAGTGATGGCGTTCAGTTAAAAACTGTCCTTGTGTCTAGTTGTTCGGGTGTACAGTGCTCTTTAGTGTCGTTTTGAGGATAGGAGTTGAAACAGTTTATGTCCAAGAGGTAAAGCCATTGCTTTATTTAGAGAATGCCTGAGGATGGGCTTCTCAGACCAAAGTCAGTTGTTTATCAAGGAATTTTGGTAGGGTGGTTAAAAAAAATGTGCATATTTTCACTGGAATACTGGGCTCCTTTGGGCTGTCATTAAAGCTCTCAGAGGACAGTGCGAACCTATTTGCCTATGAAGTCATTTAATATTGTGCTCAGCGTCCAAGGAGCAGGACTAATGGTCTGCCTTCACCACCGACTGATTTATACACACATCTATGCTTCCCTTATGATATCTGTCAGTGCTTCATCAGGTGAAGAATGACTCCATTGAAAAGCATTACTCATTTCGTTCACGGTCTCCGTTGAGCTGAATATTCAGTCAAAGGTCATTTTTTTTCACAAAAGCCGAAGTGCATGAAGCAAATGTTGGCTCTGCAATCACCCCAATAATTGCGCTGAAGCGTCTGGATGCTTGATTGTTTTCCTTGTAGTCCTTGACTTACGATCATCAATTTAGTGATCGTTTAAAGTTACAACAGCACTGGAAAGAAAGGGACTTAGGTCCATTTTTCACAGTTGCAACCATTGCAGCCTCCCCATAATTAAGTGATCCAAGTTCAGAATATTTGGCCGCTGCTTCGCATTTATGACGGTTGCAGTGTCATGGGATCCCCTTTTGCGACCTTCTGACGAGCAAGAATTTGACAGAGCAGAGGAGATAGTTAAGAGATCGATGATAGCATGGGCCAAATATTTTGGGCATAACATTGAGTTAGAGGAGCATGAAAAAATATAGAATATAAACTATAAGATAACAAAATCGGCAGCCTATAAAGAAAATCAATATAAAATGTTTACAAGGTTGGCTAAGATTTAACATAATTTAGATCCAAAATGTTGGAAATGCAGACAAAAACAAGGTACCTTCTATCACACATGGTGGTTATGCCCCAATGCGAAAAAAATACTGGAAGAAAATACAAAAATGGATACAGGATTTAATTGGAAATCAGATAGAATTCACCCTGGAATTATTCCTCCTAGGGGTAATTAAAGGTAAACATCACAAAAGGATAAAATATTTGATGCTACATATAACAACAGCAGCCAAAATAGCCTTTGCGCAATGTTGGAAGAAAGAACACATACCATCCAAAGGACTCGTAATCAAAAAAAATTTCAACTGTGCAGAAATGGATAGATGACTATAGAATTAAAAGGAAAAGAGGATTCTGAATTCTATGCAAAGTCAATGGGGAAGCCAGATTCACTTAACAACCGGGTTACTAACTCATCAACTGCGGTATTCGCTTATCAACCGAGGCAAGAAAGGTCATAAAATGGGGGAGAAACTCACTTAATGACTGTCTCGCTTAGCAATATAAATGTTGGGCTCAATTGTGCTTGTAAGTTGAGGACTATGTGTATAAATAAACCATCAGAGATCAAGAGCCTGGCAGAGAATTTCGACAACGCTTCATGCCCAACACTTTCTAATCAAGGTGATTCCCAAACATAACAGGAATCCTTCTGAAATAACCAATCACTCCATCACTCTTCATGATCTGCGATGTTTATCACTGATTAGGGACTTCTTTCCTCTTCTTGCAAGAAGTCTCCTCCTCTGAAGAGTAATGCAGCAGTTTGAAAGTTAAATTACATTCCAACTCTTATCTTTAAAAGATTGTAACTAATCTACCAGAGTTTTTACCCACAAATATATTTAATTAGAGAACGTGATTGATAACACCCAGCCTGTGAATGGGCTCAATTGGAGAATCTGATTTATGACACACCCAGGGGGGAGGGGGAAACAGAGTCACAGGTGACTGTAAATGACGTAGGCCAGAGTGGGCTTCATACAGGGCAGTGCCAGTATGTCACCTCTAATAAATCCTTTGAAGTTTTTTGAAGTTTGGCTCGAGAATCATGATTTAATTAGAGCTATTGCTGGAATTCTGACAAGTACTTTGTTGTGAGAAATAACCAAAGTAACTTTCCTGTTACGTGGGGTCCTTGTTGCTCTCTGAGTTTGGTTGTTTTCTAACAGACTTTTCATTACCAAACTAGGTAATATCAACAATGCTAACATGCAGATCGGTAGCACCCATGATTTTACCTAGCTGGGTGATGAAATATCAAGCTTAGAGTGCACCAAGGATTCCCCAGTCCTCCTCTTCTTCTTCCTTCGTCCATTCTCTTCCTCCTCCTCCATTCCACAAACCCCACTTCCTTCTAGTACTGATGACATTACCTAGTGGGGTCATGAAATGTTTGCAAAAATCAACTCGGAGAGTACCAAGGACCCCATAGTTGTCTCGTCCCCCTCCTCCTCCTCTTCTCCACAAACTCCACGCCCTTCTAGCACTGATGACATTATCTAGTTGGGTCATGAAACATTTTCAAAACTCAACCTCATAGAGTACCAAGGATCCCTCAGTCATCTTCATCCTCCTCTCCACAAACCCCACTCTCTACTAGCACTGATGACATGACCTAGTTGGGTCATGAAACATCTGCAAGAATCAACTTCAGAGAGTACTAAAGACCCTTCAGTCCTCCTCCTCCTTCTCCTCCTCCTCCACCTCCCCACAAACCCTCTTCCCTTCTAATACTGGTGACATTACCCTTGTTGGGTCATGAAACGTTTGCAAAATCAAGCTCAGAGAGTGTCAAGGACCCCACAGTCTTCCTCCTCCTCTTCTTCCTCCTCCTCCTCCTCCTCCTCTCCCCAAACCCCACTCCCTTCTAGCACTGATGACATTGACTAGTTGGGTCAATGGAACGTCTGCAAGAAAACCACAGCAAGCTCAGAGAGCACCAAGGACCTCACAGTTCAATTCCGAGCTAAAAATATTCTCTTTTCGCGTTCATAACATTGCTTCATTTATTTCATCGTATTATACACAATCGTGTATAACACGATAATCGTGTTGAGGTCCTTAGATTCCCAGCTCCCAGATTGCAATAGTCCATTATCAACTTTCCCAACCCCTCCTCCCCCAACTATCTGGAGCAGGGAAACCAGTCAAAAACCAGGTTCTAAAATTAAATGAGATGTCAGAAGATAACAACACAATTCACAGAGAACATTTATTTCTCATCTGCGGGAAGCAGAAACTTCTTTAATGGCCCAAGTGTCTAATCAACGTTTTACAACATAAAATGTATTATCAGATTAAAATCGAGAGGAGCAAACCCTACAGGAACAGGCAGTTGCAATTATCTTGTCAGAGCCTTCAGGAGTTCACACACCACAACCACAGTTTCTGCTAAAACAAGACTTCTGAAGGAAGCAATTTCTCCAGCTAGGGCACGGGCCAAAGGTTACCGGTACCAAATAAATCTTTTTTTAAAAAAACCGAAATAGCTTTGTCCTGCAAAACTCTGATTTTTCCCGGTGTCCTATATCCTTACAGACTGAATTGCATGAGAGTTTATATTTTTGAATTTTAATTCCGACCTTTAAAAAGGATTTTTTGGGGTGCTGTAATTGTTGCACATGTAGCTTGATATTCGTGCTTCGCTACGAAACTATGTGATCGGGCTTAGTTTTGGGGGAGGACAATAAGGGGAGGAATTCTGTCTCTGCCTACCAGCATCCATAAGTATTCATCTGGCTAGCATCCTGTCAGTGTGTGAGAGAATTGTGGGCTTTTTGGAAACTGTAAGAGTATTTGCTGTGTGAGCAAGAAGGAGACAGCAAGGAGCCTGGGCGTGGCTTAGTTCAACTGTTCTGTACTAAAGTTGCTTGGTGCTGTGAAACTGGAACTGAAACTCCTCTCCTCTGCTTGTGTTTTGCCTTTGGAAGAGATTTCTTTTCAGGTGGGGAGGGGGAGTAGAACTCCTTAGCATCAGAGCATGTTAATAATAAGAATATAGGAAATACTCTAAATGCTCTGATGGTCATTTTGAAAAATCCTTCCTTAGAAGCCAAGAAGAACATATGGACTAAATTTCAAGTTTGTAGGCTTTACGGTTCAGGAGATCTTGTGATGATGAATGCGTGGTATTTCGCTGTTATATATATAGATTGCTATTTGGATTATGAATCCCAGTGCTATTTAAGAAAAATTGTACTTTAATTCCTTCAGAAACCTTGAGTTATAGTGATTATAGGTAGTCCTCAACTTACAACAGTTCATTTAGTGACCGTTCAAAGTTACAACGGCACTGAAAAGAGTGACTTAGGGTCATTTTTCAAACTTACGACCATCACAGCCTCCCCCGTGATCACGTGATTAGAATTCAGACGCTTGGCAACTGACTCATAGCTATGATGGTCACAGTGTTTCCAGGGAGTCACGTGATCCCCTTTTGTGACCTTCCGACAGGCAAAGTCCACAGGGAAGCCAGATTCACTTAACGACTGTGTTCCTAACTTAACAAGTGGCAATGATTTACTTAACAGCTGCAGTAAGGGAAAGTCTTAAAACGGGGAGAAACTCACTGGTTGTTCTGACCCAAACCCTTGTCCAATAAACAAACACGAACCAAAGGGAACAGAAACCTTTTAATGAGTCTTACAAATCCCCAGTTAAAAGGCTGCTGCAAACTAATTAACCTTGATAAGCATAAGCCTCGCCAAAACTGTGCTAGTCTGCCAAGAATAACAGATAAGAAATATTTCACAACACAAGAGTCTTCAAATACCAATTTAAGATACTGCAATGTCTACAAGGCTGAGTTTCAAAACGTCTTTGCTTCCTGCAAAGAATGTTCACTTCACAGCTGGCTTTTATCTTCTTGAAGGAGGGACCATTACCTTGCAGCCTTACTCCCGAGTCTGAGTCGCCCGTGCTACTGCAGCTGCTCTTTCCTGCGAGCAGCCCTGCGCGCACGCGCCCTTGGCACAGGCTCTTGGGGAACCTCCTAATTGCTGCTGCCAGCCCCCACAATCTCTGAAGGCAGCAGTCCACTCCCTGATGGTCCTGGTCCCTCATCTGAGTCCTTGCTTTTCTCAGCCATCTGCACCTGCTGCCGGCTAACTACAACACTGGTTAAAAAATATTTCTCTTAGCAAAATAAATGTTGGGCTCAATTGCAGTCATAACCTGAGGACTACTTGTGTTAGGGAAGATTCTCTTTGTGTTCTATGAAGGATGACTCCTGAATCCTATTGCAAAACTACACGCGCACACACACACACACACACACACACACATACAAAATCTGGATTGGACAAGAGGAAAATTCTAGTACTCGTTGCAGAATTCTGCAAATTTGTTTGGCTGGATTCGTATTTCCATTTCTCACATCCCTTGTTTGTTCGGACTCAGATTCTGATCGGGGCCGTCATTGCGATGGGCTCGGCGGACAGAGATGGGCGCCTGCATCCTGGCGACGAATTGGTTTACGTGGACGGCATCCCCGTGGCTGGCAAAACTCACCGCTACGTTATCGATCTCATGCATAATGCAGCTCGGAATGGGCAGGTGAACCTCACAGTGAGAAGAAAGTTGCCCCCTTCAGGTGAGTTGACGGTTTGCAGGGAGGACATTTTTTAATGAGTTCGAAACCGGTACAAGAACGTACTTAAAGTTTTGACTTTCCTTTAGAACAGGGGTCTCCAAACTTGGCAACTTTAAGACTTGTGGACTTCGGTTCTTCCGGTTTGAGCCTCTTCGGCGACAGACCGAAACCGCGTCTCTGTGTGGTTTCGATCCGTGCTCGCTGCTGGAGCACCCCGAGCCGGTTGGTTTCGGGGCTAAGCCACCCCGTAGAGGTGGTGAAGAAGGGGGAGACTGCCTGCAGGGTTGAGGAGAGCCACATCTCTCCTCCCCAGCTGGCCATTACTCCCTTTCCCGAAGGCGGTTGTTAGTGGTGGTCAGAAATGGCCACCACAAAGAAGAACTCGACCGGAAAAGAATGTGCAGGAGGAAGATAAGAAGAGAAAGTTTTGGTTGACCGGGTCAAACAGCAAAAACAACAAATAAGGTACCCTGGAATTGAAACTATTAAAAAAAACAATAACATTGTTCCCTAAGATTTTTAAGCTGCGAAGGAGAGAAAAAAGGGAAAAGATTTGGTTTTTTTTTCTCCTTTTCCTATACTGACAGCTAAGAGACTTAAGCAAGAAATTGGGGAAAAAATCCACTTTGACATTAATAGGCATTTAATGCTGAATATAAAAAGTCAAAGGGATAATAAAGATTTCTGGATAATTAAAAGCTTTTGAAAACAGGAAAGGAGAGAAAAAGAATAAAAGGGCAGGATCTGGAAGGGAGGAGACTGCCTGGAATTAAAAAGAACTTACAGCAAAATCTCAACAAGACTTCCAAAAGATACATCTTAACTGAAACATCGCAACAAAATAGTAAAACCCCAGGAAGAGAAAGTGGAAAAAGAAATAAGAAACAGCTTGGGACTATTTGGATTACTTGGTGATCTCTGGATTCTTGGTTATTGTATTTGAATGACTAAAATCAATCGGGTGGTTGTTTAAAACTGTTTAAAATGGCTCCACTTTTAGAAGAACTGAGAATGGAACTTAAAAAGTACAAAGAAGATGCACAAGAAGGGAGTGGTTCTTTTGGCTTCGTATTTCAGTTCTTAGAAATGGAGATTTGGAACTATGAGAAACAACAAGAAATGCCTGCAGAACAAGAAGATTGCGACAAAGAAGAAGCCATCTTTAATGAACAAATAATCTTAGGTGGGGGGAAAAAGGGAAAGGGGGGAAAGAGAATGGAAAGTTTAAAATTGGGAAAAACAACCCCAAAAAAAGAATAGAGTGAAAAATAAGTATAAAATCAGAAAGCAACAGAAGAGGGAAATGCAGAAGAGAGAATTAGAAGTAGAGAGACAAGGGGGTAAAAAGGGGAGGGAGAAGATGAGAGGGAAGAAAGAAAGGAAAAGAAGTTATAAAGGACAGAAACAAAATATAGAGAAACAAGGCCTATTTAGAGACAATGGGTGAAAATCTAATGGAAAAAGGGATTCTGCAAAGGTGCATAAGATAGTATTGTTATATTAGAAATAGAAATAATTTCAGAAAATATGAAACAATGTATGATTAAAATGTTTGATAAAATAGCTATCGTAACTCAGTGGAATGTTTGTCAATAAATAAATGTAACAAAATGAATATTTAATGATTTACAAAACATGTGAAGAGAAATAAGGGAAAAATTAATTATGGAGATTATATGTGTCTTTAAGGAAGTATGATATTTAATTGAAAAGAAATGTTAAAGATGTTAAGATTTTAATGATTATTAATGATAGAACTGAATTGGAATGGAATCAGGGTTTATAATTACATATATTTATAATCCTTTTTTAAAAAAAGAATATAGTGTGTATTATAAGAATGTACCAAGCAGAATTCAATTGGAAGTTATGTATTATGTATTATATTGAAGGTCATAACCTTAAGGTATATATTGAAGTTTAAATAAGAGTTGAATGGATATAATTAAAAGATATAAAGGTGTCATACTCCAATTAGTAACTACAGGAAAAAATTTGTTTAATGAGAAAAGATAATATGAAATTGAAACAGAACAGACAAAAGTATAAATATAATGATTTGAATTGAGATGAGATAATCAAAATAAAATTGAGAAAATTAAAAGAGGGGAAAAACTATATAGAAAATGTAGAATAGTATAAGATATGGAATAGAACACAAAAATGAGCATGAAATTGAGTTTGTGTCTGTATAAAGAAGTTCAAGCCGGGACCATGCTATTTTCAAAAAAGATATTTTACTTGTATTTTGTATGTGTGAAAACCCAAATAAAACTTTATTCAAAAAAAAAAAAAAAGACTTGTGGACTTCAACTCCCAAAATTCTCTTCTCTTAAAGTTGCCAAGTTTGGGGACCCCTACTTTAGAGTTATTGGTTGGCCTTGGTGGGTTTCCACTTTCGTTGTTCTGTGTTACCACTACAATCTTGGCTGGTGTGTTGAGATCCTTCCCACATCTGATCTTTCAACCTGTCTTTCCAAGTAGGATCACTCCGTTGTGAAGGCATGCAGAATATTATCGTATTATTTATTTGTTGCTGTGGTTGTTGTTCTTGATTTTTTTTTAATTAGTTTACCAATGTATAAAATACAAAGGAAAAAAAAAGTAGTGGAAAAACTAAGAAAAGGGGGAGGGAAAAGAAAAGAGATAGAGTGTAAAGAGAGAAAAAGAAAGAAAAAGGCACTGACATCCTACTTTCTTTAGCACAGTAGAAGATAATAACATCACAACCACAACTTTGAAATCCTCCTTTTCTTAATTTTCCACTACTTTTTTTTCTTTGCATTTTATACTTTGATAAACTAATAAAAAAGCAAGAAGAAATTAATAATAATAGTAATAACAATAAATTATATATAATAATATAATAATATTATTAATATAATAATAATATGGATAGTGGATGTGGCAGTACCTGGAGACAGCAGAAGAGAAGAGAAAGAACTTGAGAATATAACATAATACAAACACCTACAAATAGAAATAGAACGACTATGGCAAAGGCAAGCAAGGGTAGTGGCCAATAGTAATAGGCGCCTTGGGAGCAGTCCCAAAACAACTGGAACACTGCTTGAACACCATCGGCATTGACAAATTTGCCCTCAGTCAATTGCAGAAGGCAGCTTCACTTGGAACAGCTTCCATCCTGCGGCAATATCTGTAACACTATCAAACATCCAGATTTGCCTATCCCAGGTCCTTGGTAAAGACTCGATAGGTAGACAAAAATGCTAAACCCAGTCTGAACATCTGGCTGACTGTGCGAACAACAGCAACAGCAACAGCAACAGCAACAGCAACAGCAACAGCAACAATAACAATAACAATAACAATAACAATAACAATAACAATAACATGATAAGATAAATACCAATGGAAATAATCAAAATCACAAAAAAGCAAAAGTTAGAATATTTCGGACATGTGATGCGACACCCAGAAAAATATGGTATACTTCACTTAATCCTCTCCTAGGGAAAGATTGAAGGCAAGTGAGGTCCAAGTAGAAGAAGAACATCCTGGCTTCAAAATCTAAGGGAATGGATTGGACAAAACTCAGCAGCCCTTTTTCATGCGGCTGATTGCCAACATGATCTCCACCATCCGATGATGTGAAAAAAAGAGGAGGAGGAGGAGGAGGAGGAGGAGGAGGAGGAGGAGGAGGAGGAGGAGGAGGA